TATTACTTGTCTAGCATTACCCTGATTTACTAGGTCCCAGGTCCCAAGTCCCAGGTAAGCACTCACAACCATTGAATAATAGGACCACAGAAAACCTTGTTCTAGAAGCAAGTTCTTGTCATTTTGTGATGTATTTTTTTGGGGAGGAAATTCCAACCTCATCAAAGCTCAGGAGAGATATTTAGGCTGAGGCTTAAAAGGGACCTTAGGAATCACCTAGTCCAGTCTCTTCATTTTTGCAGATGAAAAATCGAGGCCCAGAGAGGCTAAGTGACTTATATATGGTTCCACAAGCAGTAAATGTCAGAGCTGGGATTTGAACCCAGATCTTATGATCATAGGATCATAATAACATAGCTGAAGGGGACCTCTCCCTGACAAATGAGTCAACTGAAATCCAGAAAGGCTAGAAGTGTCAGAGGTAGGATTTGAACCCAGGTCCATATCCACTGCTTTTCCTACTGTACCACAATGGCTCCTTCTGGAGTCTAAACATTCAACAGATTCAATTCCACAAATAGTTATGGAGTACCTACTATGTGCAGATTTTGTACTAGCTGCCAAGGGGGAGACAAAGTATCCTAGACACTTCTCTAAGATAGCAAATTGTAGTGGAGTTGCTGCCCTGAATTTGTGGAGATATTTCCAGACTGGGAATTCCCAACACTGACTAAATATATACACACATGATATGATTACATATGCCAGCCTCAGAGAGGCAGGGCATAGTGCATAGAGCCAGCCTTGGAAGAAGAAATATCTAGCTTGAAGTCATGACTCAGACGCTCACTAAATGACCACAGTCAAATAACTTCATTTCTAAGTGCCCCTGTAAATCTTTGAAGACTGCAAATTACAGGGCAGGTGCCAATTTACATAAATAGAGGGAATTTACTTAGTGGGAGTTCCCTATGCCCAGGAAATCACCTGTCAAGTTCAATGGGTAGAACTCTGGACCTGCAGTCAGGAAAATGAGTTCAAATCCTGCCCCCAGGAACTTAGTAGCTGTATGACTTTGGGTAAGTCACTTAACCTCTATTTCAGTTTCCTCATCTATAAAATGGGGATACAAATGGCATCTATGTCCCGGGGTTGTTGTGAGGATAAAACAGGATAACATTTGTATAGCGCTTTGCAAACTTTAAACTCCTATTTAAATGCTTGTTGTTGTCGAATTGTTTCAGTCCTATCTGATGCTTCCTGACCCCATTTGGAGTTTTCTTGGCAGACGTACTGGAGTGGTTTGCCATTTCCTCCTCCAGCTCATTTTGCAGATGAGGAAGCTGAGGCAAAAAGGGTGAAGTGACTTGCCCAGGGTCACATAGCTAGCAAGTGTCTGAGGCCAGATTTGAACTCCGTTTTTCCTGACTCCAGACTCCAGGCTCGGTGCTCTATCCACTTCACCACCTGGCTGCCCATATTTAAATGCTAGTTATTATTATTTTTTTGATGGTGTAGCAGAAGATTTCTGGAAGTTCAGAAGGAGTTAACACTCACCTCATATAAGCTTCCTAGCTCTGTGAAACATAATTTAAATTGAATTTTCCCTAAATATCTTTGTGATGAACAATTTGTCTCATTAATACCACATCTATGCTCTGCCCTCAGGTCCTAAGGAATGCCAAGGAAGCATATGTTTCAATTACCTAAAGTTGACCACTAGGTGGCACTAGTGCTCTTTTCTAAGACTCAATGAGAATTCCCATGATTGGAACATGGGATAGGCCAAGTGTCCCCTCTGCCATCCATGACATTTCCCTTCCAACATGATTTAGATGCAATGATGGCTATTTGTGCAAGAAAATCACAGCTCCCCGACTCCAGGCACCCCAAAGTCTTAAGTCAACTGAGCTTGCATGGGATCATAGCTTTAGATGGAAGGGATCTCAGAGGCATGTTCTTTTAAACAATTTTAAATATTTTATTTTTAATTTAAGGAATAAAAGAAGCATTTCCATAACAGCATAATAAAAAGATGATTGCACATGAAACTGCCAATCTACTATGCAGAACTGGCTATTCCTTTCAAATATACAACAAAATTATCATGTAAAAATTTCCCCCTTTTTTATTCCTTCCCTACCCTACCCCTGCCTTAGAGATGGCTACCATTAGACATAAACAGGGGTGTGTGTGTGTGTGTGTGTGTGTGTGTGTGTATGTACACATATATATGTAAAACACACACACACATATGTAAAATTATTCTCTACATACTTCTATTTATCAGTTCTTTCTCTGGATGCAGATAGCATCATTTAAGCAATTTCTGACCATACATTTCTGACTTTCTAAGTGAATATTAATCACTGCCTACCTATCTGACCTTTGACAAATCACTTTACCAGTCTGGGTCTTAGTGCCCTGCACTATACAATGAGGGGGTTGAGTTAAACGGCCTCTAAGATCTCTTCTATCTCTACAAATCTCTGGATTTCAGTTTTCTCCTCTGTCAGATGAGGGAGTTGAAGTAGACGGCCTCCAAACTTAGTCTTACTGGCTCCATAGCTGGCGCCCACTGTGCCAGGAATGCCTCTTTGAGCCTCAGTTTCCTCTGCTGTAAAATAAAGAGGTTAAACTAGATTTCTTCCAAGGTCCCTTCCAGCTCTGAATCTATGATGCTAACTTCCTAATACAGCTTTCTTCATGCCCCGTTGGTTTGTTTTGCTTTTTTCATGTGCTTTTAATAACAACAAGGATTGAAATCACCTTATGTAGTATTTTAAATGCTTTCCATATATTATTTCATCTGAACCTCACAATAACTTTCCAAATGCTACAGGTATTATCATCCTCATTTAATAGATAAGGGGGCTGAGGCTTTAAAAGATTGTCACTTGCCTAGGGTCCCACAATTAACAAGTATCGGAGGCAGATTTGAACTTGGGTCTTTCAGAATCCAAGTGCAGTGCTTTAAGCAATATGGAAGGACAGAACAGTTAACTCACAGTTAGTTATCTGTGCACCAATTATACTTTAAAAGACTTAATCCTGGACTGACGGCTTCATGCTAATCGTATATGCCTTGGCCCTTCCTTTGACCGGATAGTACATGTGTATAGAGGCAGCTACAGAAAGTGCCTGGGATGAAATCAGGAAGACTCATCTTCCTGAGTTCAAATCTGGCCTTAGGCATTTACTGGCTATGTGACCCTGGGCAAGTCACATTGTTTTACTCAGTTAATCACCTGTAAAAAGAGCTGGAGAAGCTAATGGAAAACCACTTTAATATCTTTGCCAAGAAAACCCTAAATGGGGTCATGAAGGGTTGCACATGACTGATAATGACTGAACAAAGTACATTGAACCTAGAGGCAGGGTATATGACATTTAGGGCTGGAAGGAGCATAGGCTAATAGGGCTTAAAAACATCAGAGGCCATCTAGGCCAACCCACTAATTTTACAGATGAGGAAACTGAGGCTCAGGAAAGGAAGTGACTTGCCCAAGGCCACACAAGTAAACAGAGTGAAGATTTGACTCTCATTTATAAAATCCTAAAATCATAGACTAGGAACCTCAGAGCCCATCTAGTGCAACCCCTTCATTTTACAATGGAAGAAAGTGAGGCCCAGGAAGGATAATTAGCTCAATCAAGGTCAGATGTATAATGAGTGGAGGGAATTGGTCCTAGTGGTCTTTCCTCTGTACCATGATGTTGGGGCAGGGGAGATCATGTCGGACTAGTGCAATCAAGGAAGACTTCATGGAAAAAGTACTACCTGATATGAATCCTGAAGGATCCACAGGATTTGGAAATGCAGAGACAGGTGATCGAAGTGGCCAAAGCTTTGAAGTTGGCCTCCAAGGCCGTCTTGTCCAACCTCTTCATTTCATGGAAGAGGAAGCAAAGTGAGATGACTGGTAGATAAAATGCAGTGGAAGGAGGATTTGAACACTGGTTCTCTGATGACGAATGCAGCCATCTTTCCATCATGCCATACTGCTTGGAGATAGATGATTGGGGTCTGAAATGGGCATAGGTGTTGGGGGAAGGAGAGAGGAAAGAGAGATCATTAAAGGGGGCCAATGGGAAGATGTCCTGGTATAAAGGGAGGTCTTTTGTTGAGGTATAGTGGGAAATAAGGGTTGATAGGTAAGACAAGCCAGATGATGGAGAGCCTTGAATGCCTGACTCCAGAGCTTAATTTCCTCTAGATTTAGCTTTAGAAGTTCCTACCTTTACCACTTATAAGCATGTGGCCTTAGGCAAATCACTTCACTGGATCTCTGTTTCTTCATCTGTAAAATGAGGAAATTGAATTATATAGAAAAGATACAAGGTTCTGTTGGTAAGAAGAGGTATTATGGTATAGTAGGAAGAATGCTGGATGTGGAGCCAGGAAGGTCTAGTTCAAATTCTGCCGTAGACGCTTACTGGCTGTGAGAACTTAGGGAAGTCACTTAACTTCTCTGACCCTCAGTTTCCTCTTCTATAAAATTAGGGGGTTGGATTCAATCACTTCTAAAATCTCATTCTTATCTATATCAATGATCCCATGGTGTGAGTACTCCTAACATCAACCAAAATGATAAGTTGTAGGTTCTCTCTTAATTGCTATGGCTCCAAAATTCATCTCCTCATGGCTAGACTCCTTCCTGGTCAGGCTGCTTTCTCCACTTAGCTGGGATGGTTCTTGGATGACAAGAGGTACTGTCTATTTCTAGTACTATACTAAAAAGCCTGTCTAGTTTGTAATTCGTTTTTCACAGAAATATCTCCCAAGAGCCCAGGGTTGCATCATGATATGATGAAGAATCAGAGTGAGACATTAGTAAGGGAATTTTAATATTAGATTAAGAAAAAAATTTAGTAAGGGGCTACTGTACAAAAAAAAAAGAAATTCTAACATGCTTTCAAGACCAATACCATACATTTTTGTAGTGTTCGTGGGTGGGGGTTGTCAGTGTCGCTGCTTTCATGAATAATTGATATGAAAAAGTTTCCAACTAGAGTCTGGAGGTTGGATTGAAAGAAATATTTTCCTTTCTATGTTGCAGTGCCATGGTTCCCAAGAACAATCCAAGAGCTTGATAGGTTTGCCAACCAGATTCTCAGCTATGGGGCTGAACTGGATGCAGATCACCCAGTAAGTTGAACATCTCCCCCCTTTCTTTCCTCCCTCCTCCCTCCTTTCCTCCCTCCTCCCTCCTTTCCTTCCTTCCTTCCTTCCTTCCTTCCTTCCTTCCTTCCTTCCTTCCTTCCTTCCTTCCTTCCTTCCTTCCTTCCTTCCTCCCTCCTCTCTCTTCTTTCTTTTTTCCACCCCTCCTTCCCTCTCTTTCTCTCTTCCTTCTTTCTTTTTTCCTTCTCTCTCTTCCTTTCTTCTTTTACCTCTCCTTCCTTCCCTCTCTCCCTTGTTTCTTTCCTTCCTTCCTTCCTCCATTCTTTCCAAATTTTATCTCTTTGCACCACTTTTTCTTCATTTGTAAATGAGGGGTTCAGCTTTCCATCACTACCAAATGCTTTCTCTTTGAAAAGACTCTGACTCAGGGTAGTATTATAAAGTGAACTCTATGGGTGCTTAGAGAGATGGGTGTGACTAAAAAGAAAGGGGGTTAATGGACTTACTCTGGCAACCTCAAGTATTTTCTTCTTAAGGGAGAGCAGCCCCAGAAGGCCTGGGTTCAGATCCTGACTCTACCAATTACTACTTCCAAGAATTTACCTCTTTGGACCTCATTTTTCCTACCTGTAAAGTGAAAGGGTTGGACTGTATGACCTCTAAGGTCCTTTACAGATAGAAATTTATAATTCAATAAAATTCAAAAGCTCATCTAGGCCTCTAGGATATGGAGACCCATCAACAAGGAAAAAAGGGTTGCTTTGAGTGTCCTGAGATGTGGGTGTGATGTATGTATGTGTGTGTGTTGGTTCAAATGCACCATGTCTCTTGTAAATATATTGTTAACCTGTTTGCTGATATATCTGTGAGTTAGAAGGGATCTTAGAGGTTAATCAGTCAGCCAGTTAGCATTGAAGCCCCCAAGAAGTGGCAGGCACTGAAGACCCTAGATAAAAGAATCAGTCTTGCAATTTACCTATCGGGAAGCTTTCATTTTATTTAGGGAGACAAAAGGCACAAATGTAAGTATACGCAAAATAAATACAAGGTAGTTTTAAGGAAGAGGGCACTAGATGCTGGGGAAAAACCAAGCAAGGCTTCATGTGGAACAGGGGCTCTTAATCTGGGATCCATAGTCCATCAAGAGATGTCAGGGGGTCCGTGAATTTGAATATGAAAAATAACTACTTTATTTTTGCTAAATTATAAGTGAAATTTGGGCCACTAGGTGGCACTGCAGAGGATAGAGCATCGTCTCGGAATCAGGAAGACTCCTCTTCCTGGTTTCAAATCCAGGCTCAGACACTTACTAGCTATGTGACCCTGGGCAAGTCACTTAACCCTGTTTGCCTCAATTTCCTCATCTGTAAAATGAGCAGGAGAAAGAAATGGCAAACCGCTCCAGTATCTCTGCCAAATGGAGTCACAAAGAGTCAGATATGACTGAAATGACTCAACAACTAAGTGAAATTTAATACTGCCTTCTTATTTAAAAACATTACTCTGAGAAAGAAGTCCATCCATTTCGCCATAGTTGTCCATGGCACAAAAAAGTTTTGGAATCTTTGATATGGAAAGTGGGACTTGAGTTGATCTTTTGTTTGTTTTCATTCTTTTATTTTCAAATTGTTTAAAACACTTAAAAATAACCTCCTTTGTTCTGACTGCTTCCAGATTTCTTAACATTTACTTAAGCAAGCAAAGGGTCACGTTTCTGTCATCCAACAGAGGGAAACAACTTGGAGAAGGGGGAAAATGCTTAAGTCAGCCCTGAAAATGAGTCTAGAAACTCAGCTTTTTCATTTATAGTCACAGTCTGATGATGAGTCTCCAAATGAGGTTTTAGCTCAGTGAATGCATAGAACCACCCAGCATAGCTTTCCTAGGATTCCTTATCTCAAGATAGGTTGCTCACAAATACTCAGAATGTTGTGAAGGTCAGAGTTGGTGCAGTGGCAGACAAAGAGCCAGTGGTATGTTAGTCAACAAGCATTTGTTATGTACCTACTGTGTCTAGGCACTGTGCTAAGCATCAGGATACAAAGAAAGGCAAAAGACCTGCGCTCTGAAGGAACTCAGTCTAATGGAAGAGATAACATGCAAGCAACTATATACAAATAAGCTACAGACAAGAGAAATTTGGGGTACTGAATGGAGGGAAAGAGTTAAGACTAAAGGGGGCTGGGAAAGGCATCTCGCAAAAGGTGAGACATTAACAGACACTTGAACAAAGAAGCCAGGGAAGCCAGGAGGTAGAGAGGAAGAAGGAGAGAGCTCCAGGCATGAGGGACAGCTGGCACAAATGCTGGGAGTTGAGAGTATGAGGAACAGCAAGGTCAGTGTGCCTTGATCGTAGGTTCTTTATCCAGTGGCCAATGGCAAAGTTGATAATTCTTGTCTTCCAGGAGAGGAATAAAAGGAGAACAGCTAAGAGTGAGAATTCTACCAGTCCCTGGGCATGATGGGCACTTTTTAGTCAACTTAGTGAGAAGTCTCTCTATCCTTTAATTTGTATGAAGTTCTTGATGGGGAAGGAAAGCCTGACCCGATCTAAACCTTGCCTTGATTTGATATCTTTGATAGATCAATCAATCAATAAACATTTATTAAGCACCCACTATGTGCCAAGCACTGCATAAGTTTGAGAACTAGAAGGGACCTTGGAGTTTAACCAATCCAACTCCTCCCTTCATTTTTTTTTATATGAGAAAAATGTGGCCCAGAGATAGGACAGAACTTGCTGGTCCAAGCTCATTCAAAGCCTATATTCCATTCAGTCTTATCCAAATCCTACCCTTCCTCAGTTTCTTCACATGTCAAAATGAGAGGGTTGGACCTGAAGGCCTATGAAGTCCTTTCCAGCCTTGGAACAATGTTCCTATGATCTCATCGCCCACTGTACTGCACAATTGGTCTGAACCCCAACTCTTGTCTGGGGTAACTTTTGCTTCTGGTTCCCAGCTCCCCTAAATACCTCAGTTTGCTCCCCATCTCACAATCTCATCCTCTAGATTCTAGAGTCTAGAATATCCTTCCTCACTTGTTGGGGTGGATTGGAAAATTGTCAAGGACCCCTAAGCCATATTTTCCTCTGGTTACCTTCATGTTACCCAGGTACAGATGTGGTCAGTTGTAAATCTGGTTAGCCCTTCTTAAAAAAATATCCAGCTAGCATCTCTGACTTCCCTGGCCTCTAAGGACCATGAATATTTTATTGTAAAAAATAAAATTTATCAGGTACACTGATTCCCTCCACAAAGAGTAGGCAGCAGGCTCATTGTGTTCCTGTGATTTGTTTAAATTGGGTCCTGGGAACGAAGTCCAAGGACAAGGCAAACCCCTTTGGGTGTTTCTCAGCATCCCCTGAGCCCCCTCATACAAGAACATGTGGCCCTGGATTTAATGTGTGAGATGGAAACAAACCCTAGCCTGGGAAGCAGGAATGTTCTTTCCAAAAGGACCCCCTGTTCTGAGATTTCTGTTGTGTTGAATATGATCTCTGTTCCTGCCCCCACCCTGCCCCCACCCCTCCACTGACCCCTGAGTCTTGGCAGCTGGAGCTGGAAGATGACTTATATTTCATATTGGGGCCACCAGGCCAGTCACTTGGAGAGGGGTTTGTTTTCTGGATGGAGGGTAAAGAGCTCTCCCAGCCTTCCCATCCCTCCTGACCCAGTGTGAGAAATGAAATGGAAAGAGAAGAGAGTAACTCTCCCTTTGCCAAGTCCTGTTCTAGATGTCAGAGGCTTAGGATGGGGGAGCTTAGAGAGGCTCTAGTTGAAGCCTCTTCTTTTACAGATGAGGAAACTGAGGCCCAGAGCAGTTAGTGATTGTTAAGAACAAAGGTAAAGATTAGACCAGGTTCTCTAATACCCATTTCAGCCTTCTTTCCACTATACCACAGACTCATAGCATCAGAGTCAGAAGATACTTTGTGGGCCATATTATCTAATCCTTGTCTGCATGAGATATACCTTCTCGCATATTTCCAGGTAGTGATCATCAGGTCTTTACCTGAAGACCCCTGGTAATGGAATTATGCCCTCTCAAGGAGGCTCATTCTGCCTTTGGAGAACTCTCCCACCTAGGCAGTTTAATTGACATCAAGGCTCAATCAGACTCTTTGCATCCTCATTCTCAAGGCAGCTAGGTGGTGCAATGGAGAGAGGGAAAGATATGGAAGCAGGGAGTCCTGAGTTTGAATCCTGCCCCAAACACCTAGTTCAGTTTCCTCATCGTTGGGGGTTGGGGTGACACATAATAATAACACCTACCTCCCAGGACTGTTGTGAGGGCCAAATGAGTTTCCACACAAAAAGGCTTTACAAACCTTAAAGTCCATATAAACGCTAGTAGCTATAATGTTCCTTGTTCTGCAGATAAAAGCTAGTTTGTCTTTCATATGATGGCCTTTGGAATTCTTGAAGAGCTGTCACATCTTTGCCTCATTCTAGGGGGTTGCTCGCTTTTCCTCTCTGCTCTGCCTCACCTCTGGTTTTCCCTTCTCTTGGCTACAAATGCCCATTCCTTTCCTCTGATCCTCATAGTGTGAAGGCTCTTCACTATCCTGATTGCCCTCCCTTGGACAATCTCCAGGTGATCACTGTCCTTCCCAAGTTGTGGGGCCCAGAACTGAACACAAAACTCCAAACCAGGTCAGGGAAGCGGGACCATCACCTCCTTTGTTCATAATACTGCACTTCACTTAAATCAGCTTAATTTGGGGCGGGGAGGATGCCTTATCCCATTGTTGGTTCTTATCGAGCCCAGTTCTACCAAGCCCCAACCTGTCCATGACTCCCATGAAATGGTAAAGTCGACCTTGCACTATACAATCACTTTGAATGCTTTCAATCAGTCGATCAACAACCATTTCTTATACTTCTAGTACTATCAAGCCATGAGCATGTAAGTGATAATTCTGTGTGTACAAAAAACAATGGCAGTGAAGGAAAAAAAAATTTTTATGCACACATGCATACACACAAGCACCCTTAAGGTGAAATGGGCACCTTCATATTCTTAAC